ACGGAAGGTTCAGTAAGAAGAGTTCATCCTATGCACAACAGTTCATGAATTAAGAGCCTTTCAAGGTGCCTACTCCAAGGCCAGCTCAGTGCCCTACTAGGCTATGGGGATTTTGTGTCCACCCTCCCCATCCTCCCCCAATATGAGAATGTTAAATGCTGCTGTGAAGTCTTCAAAACAGAAGCATTAGCAATTGTCTAGGATTCTGGGTATTTTCCGGGTAATAGGTAAGGAACTTAAGGGAAGATAAAAAGAAAATCAGAGGTTGGAGACTTGGAAAATCCTTACCACTGTTCCTTGCACCTATCTGCACTGGCTATTATGAAAAGCCATCATCTTCTTGGCTGCTGAGTGAGGACAGCCTTATGCCTGCCTCAACTCATTTCCTATCTAAGAAGTGCTATTCCCCCAGGATGCCCTCTTCCCTGGTGCTTACAATGCTATAAGGTTAAGGTGAGCTGGGCTGGCAAGTAGTACGAGGCTGTTGAACTACTGCGGAGTACCCTAGGGAGCCCATCCACTAAGAAGCACAGAGATCTTCCAAGTGAGAAGGGCTCTGCATCTGGGCAAGTTAGACTCTCAGTCCCCTTGGTTACTCCCTGCTCCCTCATCATCCGCATTCCTTGATCTTTCGGTAAAATTCAAGGTGAAGCCCAAAGTTTGAGGCACTTCTCATTGAAATCTACTTCAGTCCTCTCACCCCACACATATACAAATCTAATCTCAGGTCACAGCAATGTCCAGCGATGTTCTCCTTCCTTAGCATAAGATTCTTTTACTTCAAGTGTCCATTCTTTGGCAGGCCCCACATACCAGGCCTTTTTTTTTTTTTTTGAGACAGACTCTCGCTCTGTTGCCCAAGCTGGAGTGCCGTGGTGCGATCATAGATTACTGTAGCCTTGAACTTGGCTCAAGTGATTCCCCCACCTCAGCCTCCAGGTAACTGGGACTATGGGCACACATCACCGTGCCTGGCTAATTCTTTTTTTTTAAGAGACAGGGGTCAGCCGGGCACGGTGGCTCACACATATAATCCCAGTACTTTGGGAGGCCAAGATGAGAGGATTGCCTGAGCCCACGGGCTCAAGACCAGCCTGGGCAACTTGGTGAGACCTCATCTCTGTAATAAATCAAAAAATTAGCCAGGTGTGGTAGAGTGTATCTGTAGTTCCAACTACTTGGAAGGCTGAGGCGGAAGGATCACCTGAGCCCAGCAGGTCATGAGCGTGCCACTGCACTCCAGCCTGGGCGACAGAGTGAGACCCCAACTCAAAAAAAAAAGAGAGAAAGACAGGGGTCTTGCTATGTTGCCTTGGCTGGACTCGAACTCCTGGCCTCAAGCAATTCATCCACTTTGACCTTCCAAAATGCTGAGATTACAGGTGTGAGGCAGCGATCCTTGCCCACAAGAGATTTTTATATTCCACAGTCATCCCAAGCATACTTCTTTTTTTTTTTTGAGTTGGAGTCTCACTCCGTTGCCCAGACTGGAGTGCAGTGGCCGCTCCCGACCACCGCAGCCTCGACCTGCTGGACTTCAACAATCCTTCCACCTCAGCCTTCCAAGTAGCTGGAACTACAGGCACACACAGGCTGAGCCACCGAGCCCGGCCACACTTCTAACAATAAGGATTCACAGCCTGCTCTTTGACTCCCTTCATATAGGTCTTGCCTCTTGTAGCCTTTCTAGCATTCTGTCTCTCTTCAGTCAGTACTCCATTTCTTTTTTTCTTCTTTTTTTTGAGTTGGAATCTCACTCCTTTGCCCAGGCTGGGGTGCAGTGGCACGCACGTTCACAGCCACCCCAGGGTCGGCCTGCTGGGCTCTGGCAATCCTTCCGCCTCAGACTTCCAAGTAGCCGGAACTACAGGCGCGTGCTACCACACCCGGTTAATTTTTAAATTTATTGTAGAGACGAGGTCTTGCCAAGTTGCCCAAGCTGGTCTCAAACCCATGGGCTCAGGCAATCCACTCGCCTCAGCCTCCCAAGTGCTAGGATTACAGGCTGAGCCACTGAACCCGGCCAGAGCTCCATTTCTAAAGACATAGTGATCTCTTTATGTCTCAAACTCATTCTAAGAGAAGTATCTGCACTTTCTTATTTTTCTTTCCCTCCTCTGCAAAATCCCTAACACATAGGGTACTTTGTCTATAAATTGTCAATAACTGACTCTCCAATAGGCAGTGACAGAGATTGCTGGCTGAGAGATGAAGTGATATCCTAGGATGGGCCTTGGAGTGAGACCATCACAAAGGCTCAAATCCTGGCTCTGCTTACTACCTGTGGAAGGTTGGGCAAGTGAATTAATCCTTATGTGCCTCAGTTTCTTCCTGTGTAAGTGGAATATTAATAATAGTAGCCACTCCATTGGGCTGTTAGGAGGATTAAGTTTGTTAATATTTTTTAAATATTTGGAACAGCGCTGACATATTTAAGCACAACAAGGTGTTATATAAATTGTTGGGGTTTTTAAAATTCTAATCCTCTCAGAGTATTAAAAGCACCATTGCTTGGTATTACTATAGGAACCTAAATGTGACCACATTTCAGTCTGGTTCAACCTTTTCCCTCAGCAGTGAGGCCAAGATTAGTTGCACATCAGAATCACCAGGGAATTTGTGTTTTAATTTAATGTAATTTAACTAGAGATGGGGTTTTGCTATGTTGCCAGGCTGAATGTGAACTTGGGCTCAAGTCATCCTCCCACCTCAGCCTCCTGAGTAGCTGGGATTACAGGCACATGATACCATAGGCTTTACTGGGTTTTATTTGTTCATTCATTCAACAATTTGAGCACGTACTATGTGGTATAATGATCACTGAGAATAGCACTGATAGTGAAATAGACAAAGTACTTCCTCTTAGCAAACTTACACCCTAGTAAGGGAGATAGACCAGCAAACGTTTTCTGTAAATGGCCAGATAGTAAATGGCACTGGGTAACCTAAGTCTGCTGCATGATCTGTCAAAACTATTTAACTCTGCCCTTGCAGAGAAAGCAGCCATCACTGGGTGCAGGCGCAGTGGCTCACACCTGTAATCCCAGTACTTTAGGAGGCAGAGGTGAGAGGACTGCCTGAGCCCAGGGGTTCGAGAGCAGCCTGGGCAATATGGTGAGACCTCATATCTACAGTAAAAATCAAAAAATTAGCCTGGCATGGTGATGCGCAGCTGTGGCTCCAGCTACTTGGAAGGCTGAGGTGGAAGGATCACCTGAGCTCAGCAGGTCGAGGCTGTGATAGCCATGAGCCTGCCACAACACTCCAGCCAGGGGTACAGAGTGAGACTCGGACTCAAAAAAAAAAAAAAAAAAAGAAGAGAGAAAGAAAGCAGCCATAGACAATATGTAAATGAATGTGATTGGTTGATCCAATGGAACTTTTTTTGTGGACACTGAAGTTTGAATTTCTCATAATTTTCGTGTTGGAAAATTTGATTATTCTCTTGACTTTGTTTTCAATCATTTAAAAATGTAAAAACCAGTGACTCAGCCTGTAATCCCAGCATTTTGGGAGGCCAAGGCAGTGGATTACCTGAACCTGCAGGGTGGAAACCAGCCGGGGCAAACTGGCAAGGCCTCCTCTTTACAATAAATCAGCGTGCACCTGTAGTTCCAGCTTCTTGGAAGGCTGAGGCGAAAGGATCGCTGGAGCCCAGCAGGTCGACGCGGCAGCGGCTGTGAGCATGCCACTGCACTCCAACCTGGGTGACAGAGTGAGACTCAGAGTCAAAAAAAAAAATGTAAAAACCATTCTTAGCTCGCAGCCTATACAAAAATATGTAGAAGACCGGAAAGATTCCTGAGATGGACAATAAGTGAACAAGTGTAAAATATCATTTAAACCCTGAACCACATTCAGCTGTGATGAAACAGAAAAAGTACCAGCCTGGAAATCTAAGATCGGAGTCTGGTCCCTGTTCTACCCTACTGGATTCTAGGGAAGTGACTCAGCTTTTCCGAGCCTCGTTTTCCTTCTGAGTATTCCAATTCTAATAGCGTTTACATTTTTGTGTACAATTAATATGCATTATGTTGTGATTTTAAAATCTAACGACGGGTCCCTTTGGCGGCGTCCCCGAGTCTCAGCCGGTGAGTTCGAGTCCCGGCCCAAGCCCTGGCCTTGCAGGCTGTGGGTCTGGGACGCGCTGGCAGCTCCCGGGACACCCACCTAACGCAGGTGGGAGGGCGGCGCGCGCGCCCCTCTGAGCAGAACCGCCCTGGCCACTCCCTCCCTTT